GGGAAGATACCCAGCGTCTGGTGATGTCTATGGGTCGCAGACTTCAGGCTGTTATTGATTGCAAAGGATTTGCAACCAAATACTAAACATGACAATTTTATTTAAGATTATGTTTATGTGTCCAATTACTTTTGGTCTCCTGAAATGGGAGGACTATGTATAAAAAGGGCTGTATAATTCCTATACGGTTCACCAAATATAGACATAAATTAAAGCTGACATTCTGCAATTTAACCTCATAGTCATTGTTGCATTTCAAAGCCAATCTGCTGTAGTACAGAGCCAAAACATCACAAATTGTGTCATTTTCCAAATACTTACAGACTGCACTGTATGTGAGTAAACAAAACTAAAGAAAAATAACACAGTTACATGTTTTAATACAGAAATACATGCAGGAGGTAAGAGCCTGGAATGGGACTTTAAGACCTATAAGAAAAAAAAAACAGAAGGCAAAAAAGGCATTTATTCACTCTGTATGTTATATTAAGGCGCATTCTATATCTTGGAGAAAGATATAAAATGACTGTACATAATGGCTACCAAAATTAAATAAGCTATTTAAAATATTTATTTCTAATGTTATTAAAGGACACTTTCATAAACTGCTATCACAGAAAATAGAATACAAACTTTAAAGCTAACTTAAAATATCCATCTCATTTCCAGATACTATTATCTTCTCAAAGGGTAAATCAAGGAGGAATTAGGAACAATAGTAGAACAAGGAAAAAAATACAAAGGAAACTTCAAAAATACTTCCTTCCTTTCCCAAAATATAGGTAAAAGGTCTCATAATGTGTTATTATTTAGGAACATGAGTCTTCTAGCAGCATAAAGCAAATTACTGTCATTACTCCAACTCACACCAGCTTGACACCTTAAAAATATCTGGCCTTACAACATCATTGGCTTTATACGCCTTGAGGCATGTGAGCAAAAAAATGTTCATTATGCAAACATGCAAACTTGTGAGTAAAATATAAAAGGGGGGGGGGAGTACCCGAGGGCTGTGACTGCAGAGCTGAACTCTCTTGGAATGCGTAATGAAACTCCTTCCATACACTATAAAAAGAACCTACTCCCTACCCCTTATTCCTCACCTACCCCACACAAACATGTTCATACAAATACACACAGCAAAAAATATACGCATCTTCATTTTCTTATTGAAACCCATTACTGAAGGTTGTTACACAATTTCAAGCCTACCACACGTTTTAACAACCTGTTACATTATAAGAAACCTGTGCTTGTACTGTAAATGCAGAGCCATTAATTGGAGGATGTATGTCCAGAAAGGGTTCTAACTGGCAAGTCTCAAAATGCTAGCAAAGCCAAAATCCTAACCCAACACAGCTAAGATTGGTAGACTATTACAGAACAATACTATGAAAACTAGCTCAGAATCCCAATGTCACAGTAGCAGTGCCACCTGTGCTTCAGTAGCATATATGTTAATAAACTTTGGGTTGAAGTATAAAGTCTGAGAAAAAAATCCCATCTGTGTAATAAATGACTTCTGAATTAAACCATCTATCTTCATAATATGATTTCAGTCAAAAATACTGATCAATTTGTCATTTTTGACATCACAAAGGCCTTGTTCCATGCCGAACAGAAATTAATGCAGCTTGCGGCACTGTGTGTACAGCAGAAATGTACTTACTTACAGTGCAATTACAGCTAATGGTAATGACAAGTAACTAATTCCAATCACAATTACCGAGCAGTGGAAACAGAATGTTGCTAAATACAATTCTCACTACTTTTCAGTGAGGTGTCCTTAGAAAAGACTTCAAATTACTACCTCCATCCCATTTGGGATCACCAATTACTGGGATACATCAAAATAAAGCTTGTACCAACAGGAAAACTAGGACTCATGTATGTTTTCCCCTGAAACACACACTGTCAAAGCAACACACTTCTTACTTGCACTGAGACCCAGAGTGTCCAAAGTCAACCAAACCCTGTGGTGCTTAAAATCCTAATTCGCAATCAGTCATTTATTTTGCTGTATACTAAAATCCAATGTAACTCTCATCCCATACTGGCACATTTTTGTTCTCCTATACACACAGAAATAAAGAGAATACATTCTCTGTGGTTTGAATATGGCCAACAACTTTCTATTTAAATGTACGAACATTGCATTTGAAATGTTTAATATATGCTATCACAGCACTGATATTTTCTTAAACACATACAGGTATATTATTTTCTCTAAAAATACAAAACAAATGTATCAACTATTTATTGCTAATTCTACAAGCAAACACATTTTCAAATGACATTAATGCCAGGTTCTAGGTTTTACTATGGTGTAAAAGAAGATTTACGTTCAACATAGCAGGCTCTTAGTTGAGCATATCTTCCTGCTCTGCACTGTGCATGCACCTGATGCACAGGCTTTTGTGGTTTAGCTAGACCTTGCAAATTAAAATTAACTGCCAAAAGTATTATAGTTTGGATAATTATTTTAACACCATATGCATTTGAAAAACATACAATATTTATCATCTCATCTAAATCCTCTGGAAAATGTAAGACATATAGTGTGGACATATTAAAAATAATATCTTAGAAGATGAAAGATACTGTATAGTACTATTTCTTGCATTGTTTCACAAAGAATATATCCCCAACTACTCTCTAGTAAAAAAACTTTAACCATCTACAATGCCAGTAGGAGTCTCTAACACAAGAGTGAAATACTCCTATTAAAACAAACTGTGGCTCAAACTTCTGTAAGATCTGCTTGAGCACATTATAAGATGAAGAGAAGAAATGTATCATCATCAGACTATAGATGATCTGTGGTGTTCTCCTAAGTTTCCCATTTTTGTTAACTTGATTTTCAGAGAACCACAGAAACTGCTCAAAAGAAAATGCTATTATGCTTAAAAGGAATGCCCAATCACTGAGGAACACAAACTCTTAACACTCATCTCAGGACTTGGCCTACAGGGAAGCAATTAAAATAACCAAAATTCCTTAGGTATTTTGATTTAGACATTGGGAAACTCACAATTAAAAGGTTTAGGAAACTCAGCAAGTCAAGAATTAATTTGTCAGCATGAGACAAAAAGAGTTAAGATGTACAAATTCTCAGTTTCTAAGGAACTAACACTTTAGGCAATTATGAGTCCCGGGCCTGTGAGGGTTTAAACCATTAAGGATTAAGTAATAAGCAAAAAACAGAAACATTTAATAAATTCACCAGTTACTATAACAAACTAGGCCTATATGTTCAACATACAATGGTAAACCCTTCGTTCATGAAAATATTATTCAAAAATTAATTAATTTCAATTATATAAAAAAGTAAACAACAGTATTTTTTGGTTTGCTGAACACCAAATTATCCTAAAGATTGGTATGTTTTCAGGTGAAGCAACAACGTTGAGGCAGGAAGTACCAATACTTACAGTATGTTTCAGACCATGCATTCATACATAGTATGCATATCTCTAGAATGTCACAACTACCAACTAAGTGCTTAAAAACCTAAAGGGTAATTGCTAAAAACTAGCACATTTTAAACAATATTGTTTAAATTACAAAATATTTTTGGTACAGGCTGCATTTACATCTTACACTGTATTAAAAAAGTTTAGACTATAAACTTAAATTTAAAATGTACAATTACATTTCAGCACTTTTTGTAACCTTACCAGTCTGGTCATTTGTCAAGAAAACTCCAGTTCTCCTCAAAATCAACATACAGTAATTGGACATTCAGGTCATCGAATTTAGTTAAAAATATTTTAAAAATATGAAGAGTGTATATGAAAAATAACCTCTATAACTGAATATATATTGATTACTTAAGCTGTATATTTCAACTTACCAATATTAAACATTTCAGACTTTAATGTGGAATTTAAACTGTCCAGCAGAGGGAGCAAACGGTAACAAGTAGAGTAGCATTGTATCACCATACAATCCAGACAATTCTAGCAATGGATTTTTGGCCCATTCAGTCATATAATGGGACTTCACATTTTTCTCACTATTACTCATATCAAATGTATTCTGCTGTTTTGTTTCATCTTACAGGTATGCTTAATGTTGTGGAAACTACGCCAGAAGATGATTAATGAAAAAAATTAAATCATTTATCTGGGTTAATCCAACGAATTTCTTTGTTATGCACATACCAATAAACCATGGTATTGCATCTAAAATAAAATCTCTCATGATTCTGCTTCGTGAGTATACACGGTACAAAAAAACAAAATAACTATCGAAAAATATAAAAAATCTAAATTACATTTTTATGTGATTGACGCAACACTAATTTCGATACGGTATTTTTTCTAAAACATGTCATTCCTTTGGCCATGGTCCACTGGTGCACTATTAACAGTAATATTAACCATCTTAAATACATATTCATGATTTAAGATGAGTCCATCACAACTAGATTCGCTACAACAATAATATTGCAATACAAAACCATTCTTAATCCGCAAACCTTTTTGTTTTGCTTTAAAAATAAATAGACACTGTGTGAACCGTATGAATTTAGGATATACTGAACATATCTATAGTCGGTAAAGATTAATTCTGTAAGATTACTGTTACAATGTTCAATTCCCTGTAGCCAAAATCCTCATGATGATGCTTGGAATAGGTTATGAAGTAAAAATATGCAAGAATTTTAAGAACTATCAGTACATTTTCTTTAATAGATGACACAAAACTCACGATTGACAGGTTGACACAAAGTAAATGATATCTAGCACCTATCCTTTAATTGCTATTCTGATCATTTCCAGATAATGTTTGAAAGCAGAAAAAAGACAAATTATATGGGAAAACATTTGACATTAAAAATGCAATTTGCAATTTACACTAAAATTACATTTCGAAACCATACAGCTGGCTGCTGGTATACAAAGGAGATTCGTAAGGGTCTAATAAAAATTGCTTTCTATCAATTATCACAAAGTTACATTAATGGACAAGAAAGCTGCGGCATTCAAGCTCCTTACCGTCGTACATAGGGGCCATCGGTGCAAGGACTTCTGTTATTCATGGCAAAAAAATGAAGCGAGATTTCAGCTTAGAACTCAATAAAAATCTGCCATCTTGAGCCACTGTCAGAGTCGCTGTCTCCTGCATTACTAGCCCAGTTCATCAGAAGGAAAAATATTAGAAATGCTCATCCAAGATTCTGGTTTAGGGACCAGTCCTCTGTAGAAATAGAAGGGTAGGATTTCTGCAACTAAACCCCACGGATCGTGAGTTTTGTTTTTGGCTCAAAAGTTGAGCCAAATTGCAGGTCTACTTCAGCTAATGGACAACATGTCTGTGGGGTCCCTGCAAAAGTTGCAATGGAGAAAGCCGAGGGAGTTTGGATATAATCGAATACCTATCGAATAGATTGCCGCTAACGAATAAAAAACATGGTCATTTATTTAATTATTTTACCATCTAACTTGTGCATATGTAAGTTTTAAGTCAATTATTTAGTATTCGTAATATCTGAAATTATATGCATGAACGACAAAACCATCCTTAGAAAATAATAATTTGTCTCTCCGCAACAAATGGTGAAGAGCTCTGAGCGACGTCTAATACTGTATATGTGACGCAAATTACTTATCAACAGTAGTAGTACTGGGGAATAGCAGGGTGGCTTCGTTCTCATGAGAACTTATATATAAAGTATATAGCAAAAGATCACAACTATAAATTGTTTTCAGGTTATTATTTTCTTAACACGCAAAATCCTTATCTTGGATTAATGGTAATTGTAAAAATGTTCTACATATTTTGAATGTCTGAAATTATTGACATTTTCTGTCGAAGTGCAAGATGTTAAATACATTTAACCATTAAACACAGTAAAATATTTTCATATGGCACGTAATGTGGTATGATGAAGACATCTCTATCGTAAACGTGAGGTAAGAAACATGTATAGTACAGTGCCTGTTAGTAATAGTATAACACATACCAGCAACACGTCTCATCTTCTGTCCCTTTAAAAACATTCCAAAAATATTAGCAGTAATTGCCCATTGAGTCTTTTAACCAAGGCAACATTGGAACTGCAAAATAATATCAGTGCGAAAAAACATAAGGCGTGACACAAAATGGATCAATATAGTAATATCACATAAACAAAATGAACACTTCTAAAGACGTATACAGCAGCATATCTGGAAGTCTTTTAATTAAAGGGAATTAATTCAAAACCATGCATCTACAGATTTTCAACGACAAGAGCCATTTTAAGATAATTTTAAAAGCAGATGTATAAGATGCGTGTGCATTATGAAATTAAAAAGCATTGCATTGTTAATGGATTTTCCGAACTTCTTTTAGCTACGCATATTTAGAAAATATTTATTCTAAATAAGCACCATAAATCACATAAAAGTTTTTTTAATAAAAATTAATAAAGCAAGTACTTGCTTAGAATTCAGCAAGTAGTAAATTCGTCCTTGAGTGGTGAAATACCTTCTACTAAACTGTCGTCAAAACTACATGATATCAACAAATCACTTAAGTGATATAACGTTTGCCGTAACATTGCTACGGATGTATAGAAAATTACCACAAACTATAGGCTGTCATTAAATGGGCTCCCTAAAAGCTTTATGATTAACCTCCTCCCCGCTCTACTTAAATAAGACAGTTTTAAGTTTTATCTTTTAAAATTCACCACTAAGTGTACTAAGTATAAATATGCTGTTGGAAGATAATTAGCTATTTTTCTGAATTATTTTATATTAACATGAATTGACATTAATTTATATTGACCAATATTAAAAATAGATTATTAATGATTAATCAATGCGTCAAATGTCAGGGAGTAAAACATAAAAATGTGAACCTAATCTAATATATATTAAGCGTTGAATGATTCTGCCGGTGATTGATCAGGATTGTGTTGAAGAGCTGTATGACGCCATTGGATTTTCACAGAATGAACTGGGGCGGAATCGGATTACACACAGGCTCACACAGATGTGAGTAATCTTCCATTTACCAACAAACGGGAAATATCTCAATGCTATTTACCCAATATAGTCAGCGCCCGGAAAATTACAATAACACATAAAGAAGAACGATAATTGCATTGGTGTAACCGAGACCAAACAATTTTCAGTGAACCTGCGTTTTATTTAAGAAGGTACGTTTAACACAGCGTACGGTACTTGAGAGCTGGGTCACAGCATTATTTCCAAAATGCAAATAGGGGTTTGCCAGGAATTAATATCTACGAATTCCAGTTACGTAATGTACAAGGGTTCTGTCCATTCTCAACAAAGAACGTCCGGAAGCCTTAAAATCGCTAATGGAATGAATTATGAATATGCTGTTTGTGATTACACCAGGTTTTTCTAGACCAGAGGCATTACACAAGCGCAATGAAAATGTTTTAATACTTAGCTTACGTTTTTAAAATAAAGCTAAAGTTTAAAATTAAATAGGTGATTGAGATGACTGTGAAGCCTGTCTTCATCGTCTGTACAGTCGTCTTATTTTTTAAAGTAAATGAATAATGGCTTTAATGTCCTAAAATAAATTTAACCCCACAGTTTGTAGAGAATGATGATCAGCTACAGTATGAAGCCCTGAGGCCTCCAGGTTTCTGTAAAAAAAAAGAGTACAGTTCATCTTTTTTTACAGTAATTCCATTCTGATTACAGATGAAATTCAGTCACTTGAGAGAATGACGAGGAGAACTTCTATAATGAGTAAATGCAGGTGTGGGATAGTCACAGAAGCTTCCAGGAATGTCACCGTACTGTAAAGGAAATCGCTAAAATGCCTGGTAATAGAATCATACATGATTTCTAGTGTCTATGACACCTTTCTAGTTGATTATAGAGCATACCAGGAGCCAAGTGAGAACAGAAAGCTGGTTCCATTACTTTAAATATCTGAAGTCAAATATCCTGTAATAGAACAACTACTTTCTCTTAAATATTGATTGTAAAGTTGATTGTGATTCTTATATTGTACATTTTGATTGAATATATACATATCTAATAAAATTACTTGTTGCCTGGTTTTTTTAATCTTTTGAACCATTTTTTACTAATGTCTATATGACAACTTTTAGAGACACTTGCATCCCCATAACCTAACTACCCTAGTTTAGTTTCTGAGCTTTCTGTGGGATTTCTAAGACAGAAGTTTTGTGAGAATTGTAGATCAGTGGAAAAGGCAAATGGCTTTTTTTACATCTTAAAAATACATTGAACTTCTTAATATATTTTACTGAAGGTACATTCCAGACGTATCATGTAAATGTGGTGTAAAGAAAGAGGATAATGTTATTTCCACCAGAATCAGTTCTCTGGAATAGCCACTGTTATGCACAGCGCAGGAAGGTCACAATCACCAGTCTATACACATGGTGGCTATACAAACAAATTACCCAGGGCAGAAAGAAAAAGCAACTTAAAGATTTTAAAGTAACTTCATCCAACTTTGAACTACTTGATTTAAATTACACATTGAGGGTTTACAGAAAGTCACATCTTCACAAAACAAATGGAAATATGGCTGCTACTAAAAATTCTTCCCAGGAAAGCACTAGAATTCATCACCCCCCTAGAAGTAAGCAGTATTTGAGAAGAAAGCCAGAAGAGAGTTTTAAATGTAAATGTAAAATATAATTCCATTCTGCATTCCAATGCAATGTAGATGTGCTTTTTGTGTAAAGAGTTTTATACCATGACACTGGTAACAGTAAGGCAAGGAGAAAAGTTTTTCTATGCATCCATAATGTATGCTTAATTTGCCCACCATAGTTGACATTGTCAAAGCAAGTGTAACTAGTATTCAAAGTTGCATAGTTTACACATTATTATTGCTTTAAAGCTTGCAGTCTTGACGATGAATAACAATTATTTGGTATGTACACAACCTATTTAACATATTCAAAGCAAAAAAATAAGAAAATATTCTAATAATATGATAACATGAAAGAAACACAGAAAAAACATTAAGTATTCAAAATCTTTGCTGTAGCAAACTTAAATTAGATGCACAAAATTGCCATAGGCAACACAATTAGTTGCACTTTCTTTGTGCAATAATAGTGGTTCTTTTGATTTCAGTATAAAACATAATTGTCTATGTGGTTCCTTGGTGACATATCAAAGCAAAGCTCAACCATGAAAACTAAGGAGCTTTCAAAATAAATCAGGGATAAAGGCATAGAAAAGCACAGATCATGAGAAGGGTACAAATGATACCAAAGTCTGTGAATATCCCTGTGTAGAAGATCTCATGAAGACATGGAAGGTGTATCATATCCCTGGACTAGACAGTGCCTCCAAACTGAGCAGCAGAGCAAGGAGGAAACGGGTGAGGAATGACAGAAACCAATGACTGAGATGGGAGAAAATGTGTATCTCAGATGCTCCACAAAGCTTAAAAAAAACATCTCATGGATTTTGCAACACATCACTTGAATGTTCTTTGCTTCAAAATGTGGCAAAAGGTTTTGTGGTCTGATGAGACCAAATTGGAACTTTGGGGTTTAAATGCCAAGTACTACTTTTGGCACAAATCAACAGTAAATAGCACATCTCCTAGTCAACAGAATTCCCCACCGTCAAGCACTCTGGTGGCAACATTCATGCAGTAGGGAACTAAAGGAAAAACAAGCAGGCAAAAATACAAATAAATACTAGAAGAAAACCTGTCTCAGTCTGCTAAAAACGCAAACTAGGGGAAAGCATTCAGCAGGACAATTATTCAATGTACAAGGGATGTCCTGACTTGAATACTATTGAGAATCTATTAAATTAAAACAAAACTGTTGTCTATATGTGTCCCTCAAGCAACTTGAGAAAACGTGAGCAAATCAGTGAAGAAGAATGTACAAAAATGTACACCATGTTGGTGTGCAAAGTTAGTACTTACCCCACATCTCCAACACACAAAAAAAAATATCTGTAGCTGCATATGGTACCTAAGATTGTTCTTTTTAGGTAGAATGGCTGAACCTTATTGGTATATATCAGGCCCAAAAGAAAAAACAGCAGATTGCTTGTTAATGTAAATCTGCACTTACTTACTAAATCATGTAAGATTTTAAGTTAACTGTATTTGTTAAGTTAAGTTGTTATGTTGTTATGTTATCCAGTAACCCTATCACCCTGCAACTGGAAGCCAACTGAAGCTAAGCAGTTTGTATTAGCCTGGTCAGTACCTGGATGGGAGACCTCCTGGGGAAAAACTAAGGTTGCTGCTGGAAGAAGTGTTAGTGGGGCCAGCAGGGGGTGCTCACCCTGTGGTTTGTGTGGGTCCTAATGCCACAGTATAGTGACGGGGACACTGTACTGTAAAAAGGCGCCGTCCTTCGGATGAGACGTAAAACTGAGGTCCTGACTCTCTGTGGTCATTAAAAATCCCAGAGTGTTTCTCGAAAAGAGTAGGTGTGTAAACCTGGTGTCCTGGCCAAATTTCCCATTGGCATTTACCAATAATCCTAATACTCCTAATA